CGTGATAAAATACAACTTCAGACAAGATCTCCAACAACACATATTTTTCAAACAAGTCTCGACATGTCATGCTTATTTTCAAACAAATTGAATAAAAATATAATCAAATAATTTTCATGCTTCCGAACAAATTTTGATTCCAAACATAACATATACATATATAATACATTCCACTTAGCAATTATTTTTCTAAATAATAAAAACATGCTCTCTCAAAACATAACTTGCTTCTAAATCATATAAAAATACACATAACAAGTCATAATGCACACATAATTACACATTAGTAGTGGTTACTTTTGTTTCTTGTTATTAAATCTCCTCGAACAAACACACTTTCACCGTCAATTGTGTTTCTACCACAATCTACATACATCACAATATTAATTATAGTTAATAAAATATCAATCAACACTATTTAAAGTATCTACAAACTAATCACACTCTAATCTTAGGATTAGATTAATTAACCTAATTAACCCCAAGCTTTTCAAACTTGTTTAGACCCTTAAATACACTTAAAATCATCACCATTATACTTTCCAATCATTTAATCAACTCCTGCATAACCCAAATCATCATTAAATCACCCAATCAAAACTAAGGTTTTGGGTTTAACCTTCACATTATCATAAATAACCTCAAGACAATTTAAACTATACTTATTTAATTTCAAAACACCCATTAAATTAGGATTTAAGGATTGGGTCTTCCCAAAAATGAAAACCCTAATATACCCATGATGACATCTAGCTTAAAATAGAGAAAAGAACATAGAGAAGTTATGATGCTTACCTTAACCCTTTAAAATCTCAAAATCGTGCTCAATCAATGTTTTATACCAAACCCTATTGGAGCATTTAATTTTCGCACCCCAACACCCCCAAACTCTCCTCTATTTTTGATTTTCACAATAGAAACATAAGTATTGAAAATGTGCTGTATGCTGTGATATGTGTATCATATGTCCTGGCATATGGTACAATGGCATACAATCCTGCTTAAGCCTAATGATTTGGGTCTAAACTATTCCATACTTATTTTGAACTTTAAATAACTCTAATACATGATCTTAGCCCTAATTTAAACCATAATTAAGAGCCTAAATGATTAATTACACTCCGACCACAAATTTCCCTGTTCTTGAATTCCTAAGGTACCGTTAGCCTTATACACCTAATACAGTTTAACATTAAGGGCTCAGGGGTTTAGGTATCTACTCTTATACCCACTCTTAGGTGAGATTTATGAATACTCTACCTTAAACCAAACACTAAGGCCACCCATGGTGTTAGTAATATTCATGTGGATACAATCACTACACTCCCTTCAAGAAAACTCTTGTAATCTCATGTTCATGCCAAATATACTCATGCATATGCTAGTTTATCATGTATTTACAACTCTTATCATCATACTCATGTTTCATCATATTAATATCCTTAAATTCATTTTTGCAAGCATATATATATATATATATATACACATATATATGTATGTATGTAGTTAATCATATTGAAATTCAATTCCCATTTCATATAATTTCTAAAACAAACTCGTCTTACATAAAAATACATATATAATATACTAAAATAATTTATTTCATAAAAATCATACATCATATAAGTAAGCAAGTAAACAAGCTAGATTATTTAGTTACCTCAACCCTTTTATCTTACATATTGTAAATTAACGCTCCAATAGTCTCCATAACCTCAAAGAGGTTTTGAGTTATGATAATCTACATGTTAGAATACCCATCAATCAATCTCCACTCTAGCACAAGCACTTTTTGGCTTAATTAAGTTATCCAACACTTATAACTTCTAATGTTGACATAATTAAAGCCCTAGTAACTTTTCATTAACTTTCATTAACTTTTATTAGGCCTAATCATATCAATTTATGGTTCCCATAACTACAAATCTTTCATTTAAGGCTAAGGTTCAACCAAAAGCCTAAGGCCCAACCAATAAATACCATAAAACTATCAATTCTAGGTGTAGCAACTTCAATCAACTATGAACAATCTTATTTAAATCAAGGGTTCAGACCAACTCCTTAATTAACTCAGAAATCATTTTCTCACATCTCATAACCAAGAGAAATTAGAGTAAATTGGAAGAGGAGGGAGATACAAAGTTTACCTAGAAGATTAAAGGTCCAAACTAACTCCCAAGTGCTCAATTCTTGATGCCTTAGTAGAGTTGAAATCCTTCTTCCTTGTGTTTTCCTTTCTTTCTTCTCCTTTTGTTTTGCAATTACACACATATGATTCATCTAAAGTATGTGTTGTTTGTCATGGCAAATGGCTTAGAATAAGGTCTCAAAATTTGGGCCTTTCATCTTGGCTTGATTAGCCGAATCACTATTGTTGCTAATTCCAAAGTTGTCTAAACCACCTAAAAGATCCATTAGCAATTCGAAAGCACAGTTAACTTAATTAATTCACTAATTTACTAATTTTTTTCTTAATTAATCTATAAATTTTGGATTAAGATTTTGGGATGTTACATATGTCTATCCTAATTACAGATTAGATAAAATTTAACCCCATATTACTTAATCTAATAGTTCAAATGAGATTCTCCTTTGTCAAGGAAGAATCCCAACACCCAAAATTGCATTTAATATTGTCTAAGCATCATATAGACATTCAAGCATAAGATTGAGCAACCAAAATCAATCTTAAACTTAATTAATAGGTAAAAATGAATCTACTCCACCAATGGGTTCACAAGTCATCTACGTTTAAAGAGAATCACCACACATAGCTCTAGAAATAGCAAATACCAATAGACTAAATATTAAAACAAAGAAGAGAAAGAGAAGAAAAGCTTAATTGGAGTGATTTTGGACCAAAGTAACTAATCTCCCATGAAACTCAAGCTTCTCCACCTTACTCAACTATAGCTGCTTCCCTCTCCTTTGGACGTTCTTGAGTTGCTATAGTCGATGAATGATGAAGAATGACGAGCAAAAGCCTTCAAAACCCTAAAAATATCAGTGTTTCATGAAGTTATGCGTTTCATTTATTGACAATTATACTATGGCATGCTCATGTTACGCTGTAGCGTAAACCCATTCTATTATTGTCACTCAGAAATATACTCCAGTGTAGTGAGGGATTCTGTGGCATACATCTTAACTTTATCTTCAATCTTTACTTGCTTACAGCCTTTAACTGTTGATTTGGAACATCCTACACACAATATAACATCATTAATGTAATTTTAGCTCAAGTAATCAATTCATTTCAACATGATGCTATCAACTTTCCCTTCTCATTTTCAAAAGCATTTTTCTTATCTTTTTCCTCAAATAATAGTCTCATTCCCCTCAAAATTAGATAGATGATTTCAAATTGAATGCAAATTCCCTAATAACATCCAAAAATATTTGGAGTCATCTATGACAATTTTCAAATTTATTTTTTCAAAATAAAACTATAAACTTTTAAAAATATTCTTACACATTAAATCATTATACTACAAAATCATTTTAATTCTTTCCTCACTAGAAAAAAAAACATTATTAATAAAATTTTGTTTTTCTCAAATTTTCTTATATTTGAGGACAATGAAATACCTCCAAAAATATTTTACAATTTGAGACAGAGAGAATATCATGAACTGGAACATCAATGCTTGGAGGAAACCTAGTTTTCCATTAAACTTATATATCCAAGTTCCTTTACAATTTTTCATGAGATCTCTCCGAACTGCTTCTCCTCTGTGATCTACCATCCATTTTAACCAAAACAAAAATCCAATAAATTGGTATTTGGTCAAATATGAAGTTAAGGAAAAAAAATAAAACCATTTTTAGAACCAGCCAAACCTTTTTAAAATTATATTTTATTCCATGACATTCAAAATGAAGGGTATTTTCAATTTCTTCACAAAGATAATGGGAAGTAGTTAAAAATGGCTTGTATCATGATAAGAGATTATTTCAACTTTCTAAAATTGCTCTCTATTTAAAATCAATTTATCTTAATTACCTTTAATTTCTTTATCATGATACGAACCATGATATAATTAACAAGGCCACAAATGAAAAAGGAGAATTCAATTATATTTAATTTCTTAAAGTATACCATATTTTAGACCAATAGTAGTTAGTGGTTGCTAAAAAAATGTCCTATATCTTTAGAATGCATAGAATATTTCTCTTAAAAATTTAAACCATGATATAATTTGTTTCATTCCTTGCGAAGGAGACTAGCTAGTGATAGTGGGCAAATGGTTAATGAATATTTTTTTAATTTTATATTTTAAATTAAAATAATTAGTATATGATTAAAATATTATTAACCATAGATTATTTTAATTGTCAGTGTGATTTTTAATACTTAAAAAAGAACCATGCTAAAGATGAAGCCAAAACCAGTAATCCAAGTGGATTGGCCCAAACAAACTTGAACTTATGAAAAAGCCCATATAATTAAATTAGGTATGAATACCTAAATTATCGATTCCCCCAACTTTTTTTAAAAATTCAATTTTTATTTTAAAAATTAATTATTTCATTACTATAAAAAATAAAATACACTTTTTATAATACTTAAAAATTAGAAGATTCAACTTTTTTTAAAAAAATTTGAATCTCAAAATTTAAAAATCAATATCAAAATATATTTTAAATATTATTTTAAGTTATTTTATAAATTAAAATAATAAAAATATAACAAGATTAATATTTTTTATTTTTAAGAGAATATCTACCATAATGTATTTAAATATATAATCTTTAATTTTTCAGATATTTAAAAATAAAATAATTAATTAATAGTTAATTTTTTTTTTACAAAAATTGAACTTTTATTCAGGTATTTGATCTGGTCCCTTAAAATTTTTTAAATTTATTTGAGCCAATTTGAATAAACCTGAATATAAAAAAAAAGTAATTTTTCAATTTATGATTCTAACTTTTTTTTTTTTTTGGGCTTATGAGATGAGGGATTGCGCACATGGAATTATCAGCAACTGTGCATAATTTTGGTGTTCTTCAGCGGAGATTGTACCCTTGCCCCTGGCCTACGATAGCATTACATACGATTGCAGGGGATTAAAACCCCGAACCTTCCTTTCTCTTCTCCAATTTCCTTTTGATCCTCCAATCTTCTTCACCTTCCAGGAAATACGTACCCAGATATATATAGATAAAGATATTTGCTCAACTAGTAGGTGAGCATGGCTACTCAATCGGCAGCTCCTCCCAATACTTCGGACGATAAACTTCGAAACCCGGGTATGATTTCCTTTCTCTCGCCCTCTCTTTCTAAGTTATTACTCTGGTAGGCCCTGAGTTGAATGTTTTGTCCGGCTGTCTAGGAACTCAGAAAGTGGGAAAGAAGTTTGATGAATAGTATATGATTTGATTCATTTAATTGCTGTCGTATGCGTTTATTATGGCTTCTAGCTAAATCTTTAATCATGATCTCAGTACAGTCTTTCCTGTTTTCTGATAATTCTATTCTGCAAGAACTTTCTTGTCTATCCTATTATACTCAACGCCGAAAAGAACTTTTTGTTGTATTCTTCACATATTTTGGTACCAATTGTCAATTTCCTTACAAGATAGAATCGTAATTTCCTAGTGATTTTCTTAACTTTAATTGACTTTCTAATGGAAATTTCAATATCACATCATTTATTGTTCTGTTGCACCCTGTGAAATTTATTGCCCCCTCCTTCGGGTTTATTAAATCCAGACATCTTGATCGTCATCCTTAGCATAGTTTCATACTGTGCACCACCAAAATGATCTTCTTAATACTATCTCTGTTAAGCGCATTTACTATTTTAAGTATTCCACTAGAGTATTCTGTATTCCTATTCTCAGCTACGTTTATTGAGTTCTGAAGCTCTACCCTACTTTTTGAAAATAAGCTGGTAGTTTGTGGCGACAATCCTGAGTCATTTTTTTTCTTGATGTTGTTTTTTTGGGTTGGGGGAGTGCCTTAATGCTTGACATGCTGTTTCAATCAGAACGGAAATTCTTGGAATATTCGTGCATTATTTCCTCAGGGAAATGGCGCAATGCAGAATGAATACTTGTATTCTGTATTTGAGTTTTTCTACTAGGGAATATAACTAGAAAATTTAAGGTAATCTTTAGATTTTTCATCCTAGATGGTCCTTCTATGGAAGTAAAATCAAGATGGAGAAGGGGAAGGTGTTCAACATTGTTGAATAGGTAAATAAAGAATTTCAAGTCTTATTAGAATTTTTATGAAGGAAATAAATTTTAAGACATGTTTAATCGACATAAGAAATCCAAATCTTTAATTTATTCTGAGATATTTACATTTTCTGTTTGAAGGACAACTAAATTTACTTCCAATAATATCAGATGCCTTTCCTACATTGTTTTGTTCCATTTTGTCATGCTGAATGTTGGCATAACTGATTGGATGTGCTGGGCTGCTGGCAGAATGTTTTGAATAAGATATAAGTTATGCCAACTTGGGTAAATGATAAAATTGATTTGATGGCTTTCTTTTTTGGGGGTTTAGGTCCTGAAACTATGCAACCAAATGTTGATCAGCCCCAAGAAGAGCCTGTAAAACAGAATTCAACATCAGTATTTGTGAACCCACAACCTATGCGGGAAGAGGAAGTACAGAATGCTGTGAAATTTCTATCGCACCCAAAAGTTAGAGGCTCACCTGTCTTATACCGGAGATCATTTCTGGAGAAGAAGGGCCTCACAAAGGAGGAGATAGATGAAGCCTTTCGCCGTGTGCCGGTAAGCTTGTCATTTGGTCAGTTTGCTCATTTTTCTACACAACACAACCTGTTTATTTTCTCCTTTGGTTTGATCTTCTGTTTTAATTCTTGCTTATGTTTTAATTCTTGCTTTCCCTGCAAATCACAGGATTCACCTCCAAATGTGCTGACATCTGGTGAAAATAAAGGTGAAATGTCTAATATTGAAGTAGCAGTTGGGCTTCTGTTTCCTTTCTTTCATTTTTGAGCTCAGCTAGACTTCCCGAGAAAGTCTCCATAAGTTTTTATGTTTAACTACAGCTGGACTGATTCTTTCACCATTTCCTACATGACTTAATGAAACACTCACAGATGGGCAGCTGAAGACATCATCAAACGTTCAGCAACAAAACTTGGCACAGACTGTGCAGCAGGGCGCATCTACTTCTACTGGTACTGCTATTTCATATCCCAGATTTCACTGGTCCCAAGCCATTATAGCAATTGGATTTCTTACCGCTTCAAGTGCTGGAACAGTTTTATTAATAAAGGTATCTGTTGGTGACCTCTGTATGCTATTTAAACTAGTATCCTAAGGCATAAAAGCATATTGCGTTGGCCTGTTCACTATTTTAATAATTCATCCTTTCTTGTACCTAATGTACTTTTATATGCATTAATATTTTCTCTTTTGGTCTGAGCCTCATTTTCAGTAATATCTGGAAGTTTGTGCTTTTTTATAGAATTCGTTTCTTCCTCGATTAAAATCTTGGATACGCAAGGTTGTATTGGAAGATGATGAACCATTGAAGAAAATAGTCTCAAAACCGTCTTTAGCAGAAGAAGCAGCACTAGCTGCAAAAGCTGCTGCGGCTGCAGCTGCAGATGTGGCAAAAGCTAGCCAGGAAATGCTGGTTTCACAAAGTGAAGGTGACTTTGATTCAACATAAATTAGGATAATAATTTTTTAGATTTGCTTGTCTGGTTCCACATTAACTTGTCATCTTTGATTTTTGAGTTGTGATTCTGTTTGCTGCAACATCTGGTTTAATAATCTGCAGAGAGGAGATACTTTGGAGAACTCGTGAGCCTTGTCGACAAGCAAGTACAAGAAATGAAGTTGATGACTAATGCTATAAGAAGATTGGAAGGTACTCTTGGAACCTGGATTGCCTATTTCATCTGTCAGGATAAGATGAACAGTGTCACCTACAATATAAGATTGAACAAATAGTTTGGTTTTTAATTCATCAATTGTACTTGCATTAGTATATCTGTCAGGAATGCACAATTTTGTGTGATAGGCGAACTTGGGAATATAAAACTCAGGGATTTTACTGAGCTCTGCCCTAACATTTTTGCTTATCTGCGTATCTGTTATTACTTTCTGGCAAAATTTTGATAGCTTCTTTGCCATTCTTCAGCACATTGATTATATTGATTCTCATCTGTTTCTGTTCTGCAAAAAACACTAGCTTCTAGTGGAGCTGTTCTTTTGGAGCATGAGGACCACCAAGTCACTCAAGCAAGTTCAAAGGTCAGTAATATATATATGCATAGATGGCTACTCTTTCAGGAATTCGATTCAAACTTGGGCATGCCTTCTCTTATCCTTATTTAGTTGTCTAAAATAAGTTGAGTTTTGACAGTAATATTTTTTTTTCTTATCATCTATGCAGCAAGTGATTGCAAATGGCAAGGTGGACTATAGCATGCATTCAGGTTAGGTACATTAACTAAAATCTAATTTTTTTCTAACTTACGAAAATCTGAATTTTCACCTATAATTATATTGTCATTTGCAGGGAGCTATTCATCAACACCTGCTTCTACTGGACCATCTACTGCTCCCCATCCTAAGTCATATATGGAGGCAAGTCATTGTGTTGATTTTCCTATTGTCTTTTGTTTTCACCTCCTTGTCTTCAAGGGATGATATCCAAATGCATGGCGTTTTGAATCATTTCACTGAAGACGATAATAACTGGTTTTGTCATCTAAAATGAAATTTATGCGAAGGAAATACTTTGGACTTTGGCTCTAGATTGAAGCTTATTTTATTTTTACTTTTTCAATAATGTGTCATGCATTTTTCTTTTAGTTGTGCTTTGGAAAATGACCGATTCAACACAGCTAATTAGGCATGCTGGATTAGGTTATTCAACTAGTTGTGCGAACTAGGTTATTGATAAGGTTTCGTCCGTACTATGTTTTTTTTTTCCCAATATGAAGTTATATGTCAAATCATCCTAAGCTTTCTTTATATTGATCTTGTATGGTGGGCCTACAATGCCACAAACCTTGATTGAATACACTTGTTGACAATATTTTGACAATTTTAGCCTTTGCAGGTTTGGTTCTCAGAGGTCATAACTATGATTACCTGCAGTGATCATCAATGTGAAATTTGAATGACTCTAGTGTGTACATCAAATTTTAAATCAAGCATTTAGGCTTCCCTCCGACTCCTCCTGATTTTTCAATGTTTTGCCTAAAACTTCTCTTGGACCTTTTTTTAATTAAAAAAATTCTTCCTTTTGGTACAAACATTGACCTAGGAGCCCTAAGATCAAGCCTTCTAGCCTGTAGGGCTCACCATGGAGACCAGATTTGCCTGTAGGCTTATTGGTTTAAGATGTGTAGTCTGTCGTGAATTTTTGCTTAGGAAAAATAAAATCGAATGCACTTTTGACTTGCAAAGCTGCTCTTGTCCGCTATTAAGACTGGTGACTGTTGAGTACCTCAGCTTTGATAACTTCCTAAAATTTAGTAGTTCAACGATTAGTTGCTCCTTTTTTCCCCCATATTTGATGTGATAGTTTTAACAGATGTACGTTGTAATTCTTTTTAATATGCAAAGATTCCCATACTGTTTTCATTATATTTTGCAGATAATGGCCATGGTCCAGAGAGGGGAGAAGCCTTCGAACATTAGAGTAAATTATCTATCCTCAACATTGCAGTAATCTAGTTGTACACTTAACTTTAGCCTTCCTACCTCATTTCTCCGTCATGGATTTAATACAATAAGTTGGTTGATGTGACATATAATAATAAAATTAATGGGAATAAGGGAACTTAGAAAAGTGTGGCTAGTAATTGAGATTATTAAATATTGGGTTTAGCATTTTTTCTGTGGTTATTGTTATTATTTTTTCTTTTTTCCTTCGTAAAATATAATTTTGGCTTTGATGCAGGATATTGATGATCGCCCCCCCAATCCAAATCAACAACCATCAAATCCTCGCATGGCACCAAGAGCCAAGGTTTTTTCTTCCCAAATATATTTGTTCCTCAATATTTTAGGTTTACGATTTGTCTAATAAAAGAACTTGAGAACATTATTTTTACTTCTCGTAAGATAAAATGTCTGAACTTTATATCAGTTTATCTTTGAAGAGTGATCATCTGAATGCTCATTGGCAGTATCAATGGTTTATAGATTTGATTGATGAGTGATGACCATGTGAAGATAGTATGTCTAATGATTGGACCATCAAGGACATTGTTATGGAAATTTCTCGATTGAATTAGTTATCAGTGATATTTTATTTTAATTTAAGATGAGGCAGGATCGCTTGAGTAATGAAGTTTTCATGTATTGGACGTGAAAGGCGGCTTTTAATTAAACATTTGAACCCATCAAATAATGAATGCATTTCGTTTTGGTGCATAATTGATGGGATCTTTGTTATGAAGTAGAAACTTAGAATTCTCGACATTCATTTCCCAGCTGCATAACTACACATGAAACTGAAACTGATTACTTGTTTCCACTCTTCTTGTGCAGCCTTGGGAGGTTAGTCATGTGCAAAGCACTGAAACCCAAATGCTTCAACCTTGGGTCAGTGGTGAAGACTTGAATTCCAAGTTTCAAGACACCTCCATTGAAGTGAATGGTGACGCTCCAGTTCCCTGGTGGCAACGGAAAAATGTTAGAATCAGCGAGATAGATGATGGCAATGAGCACGGTGCAGAACCAAATGGTGTTCCATCTAGTCGTCAGCAGCAGCAGCCAGTCAGACGCACATGGGTTCCACCTCAGCCTCCTCCTATAGCAATGCCAGAGGCTGCTGAAGCCATTAGACGGCCCAAATCGGTGGCTCAGAAGGAACAGGTGCGAGATGATTTGTCAGCAGCCCATTCTTCAGACATGTCTGATGAGGTGCGAGACATCCCAAAAACGTCTGAATCCGAAGGCGCTACAGTTGACAGCGGACTCAGCTCAATGCCCAAATCTGGTGAGATACAAACAGCTCAGGAAGTCAATTAGTCAACTACGAAGAGGAATAAAGCCAGGTCAGGTCATGTTACTTAATTAGCTTGATTCATCGCTTTGTGAAGTTGGTAGCAGTTGTCCAAAGTTCAGGATGAGCTTGAAAGAACCTTTGTTTTATATAATCATACCTTGTCTGAACTTTTGGCCAATCATCAATACAAGATACGTGCATATTTTCATATGACAGAATAATATTTTAATTTGTATCAAGCAATGATCAATGAATGTTATTGTAGACCTGTAGTCTAAGAAATCTTGATCATTCCATTATCGATTTGTTGCCTTAAACCTTTACTGGCACAAAATGAAGCGCGGATGAGAACGAAACGAAGTAGCTTAGGTAGACCACGTTAATCAAGAAAAGATATATAAAGTTCTTTGGCGTGCGCACGCACATGTATATATATTAAGATTTTTTTTTTTGGGCCAAAACGATATATATTAAGAAGATTTACCGGTGACATCCAAGCATGCTTCTTATGGTAATGCGAGGTCTACTTAAAAGCACTGACCAAAGGCATGTCGAAAGCCAAGTTAGTCGGTGAATCAGATGGTTTTCCCAGTTCTTAAGCACCCGATTATAAGGTCTTGTCGACCGATGGTCCGCTGTTATCACTGTCCGGCCTATGAAAGCTGCAGGCTTCTGCTCCATACATACATACATACATACAAAGCCTGCAGGCTTCTCAATTTTAATTTATGATTTGATGCTTTTATTTTTGGATAACAAAGAACGTCCCCGTGTACATTCCACATGGACGCGCTGTAGCAAAGGAGTGAACTAGTAGCCAGTTGGTGTGAGCTTATCGTAGAATAAATCACAGCTTTGCTCTTTCAATATAGTCAGAGACCAAACATAAAGTGGAACAGCCGGCAAAGTTGATGTACGTTTTTCTTTCCAAACTTTTTGGGTCACTCGTAGTTTTTCCTCTCTTCATTGATTTGGTTGCATGGAAATTCATTCGCACGGGCAAATGGGAAAGAGCGAAATGAGGAAAGAAACTTTTGCGCAAAAGCAAGGAAAAGGGGATCACAACTTGAGATTCGAATTCTGTACTGAAGACGGGTATTGAGGAAATAGCAGACTATGTACTCCTCCCATGCTAGAGAACAAACAGTACACAGCATAATCTAAAATTTTTTATATACGTTTATTAATTCTAGTTCTAGCATGGATATGGGTTATCTTTGACCATTTAAGGTGCTTGAAATATGGATAAGCTTCATACTTTTCTCAACACTAACTTCATTTTGGGAATGATGTTTTGAAGAATTAATAATCAGAATTTGATTGTGATTTTGTGGGAAAATAAGACGAGTGTCAACGTCAGTTCATAGAATGAATGAAAATGACAAAAGGGAGAGAAGAGGGATGTCCAATGTTGGCTTGCCATAATGGAGAGGAGGGTAGGGACGAAGGAATGCATCTTTTTCTTCGAAATAGCATGCAATTAATTTATTTTTCCAACCCATTAGCTTCTAACCTATCCTATTAAATGACTGTTACCATCGTCATGAATTTTTACAGGTTAGTTTCCCTTGTAAAAAGAAAAATATGATTAAAAAAAATAATGAAACAAAAAGAAAAAAAAAACTAAATATGCGTGCAAATACAAGATTCAAGATGTTTTTTGTGCTTTTTTGGGAAAAAAATAGAAAAAAGATTGAGATTCAGACGCGCAGTTTTGTTCACAACTTGCAAATGGTACGAGTCCATTTTTTCATATTTTATAATAATAATGAAAAAGAATATGAATAATTATAACAAAATAATAATTTAAAAATATAATAGATATCATATCATGCACGGTAACTTTTATGTAATGAAATGAGAATGTGTTTTCTTTTGGCAGTCATGCTGATTTGATATGTGGCCTAGATGCGCAAAAACATTATTGGAAAGTGAAAAAAGGGTTAACTTTTTGTTATCATGCTAATTTTATTTAAAACATTATTAAATATTAAATATAAAAATTTTTTAATGAAAATTTAAATCTCAATTCATCATATTATGAGAAATTAATTTTTTTTATTAGGCTCAACTTTATTAGTAAACAAAAAAGCACACTTTAATCACATAAGTTTTAAATAAATACAAGTAAATCTCTTTCCCCACCTTCCTAAAATCAACTTTAGTTATTTCAATTAAGGATAAATTCCCATTCATTGAGCCGTATTGTTTGTAAGTAAACTCGTAAAATTAATTAGCCAAAATTTAGTATTAAAAATAGGAATGGATTCTAATAACGAAGCCAGGGCTAGTCAGGGATGGCTTTTAATAGAGATAATGAAATTTTTAATGTTTTAAATTTGTCTCTTTTATTGATTTAATCTTTTAAGTTTAATTTTTGTCAATTTAACTTGTCATGTTTTTTTAAATTATTATGTTAGTCTTTTAAGCTTTAAAACACAAATTGAATCTTTAATTAATCTAATGTACAATGTATATTGACTTAACGTCTAGAGAAAATGATAATAAAATCCCTCTAAATTATATAAATGATAATTCAATTTCTCAAAATGTTATAATTTCAATGAAGTTTCTAAGGATCTCCGTGCCAACAAATTTTAAAATGAAAAGATAATTTTACCCTTATTGAAAATAACAAATTCCACTCACAATTTCTATTCTGTAAATTGTAAGAGTTAAGTAAAAAATTATAATTTATTAAGTATAATTTTTATTGTTGAAAAACAAATCATAATCACAACTTTTGTTTAAAAAATATAACTTTTATTCTATGAATTGTAAAAGTTAAATAAGAAATTATAATTTATCAAGTGTAAGTTCTATTATTAAAGAATAAGTTTTCAAAATAACAAATTCCATTCACAACTTTCTTCAAAGAATCACAATAATTGAATGAGAAATCACAACTTGTCAATAAAGGTAAAATAATTTTTTTAATTTAAAATTTATTGATAAAAAATTTTCTAAAGACTTTAGCAAAATTATGATATTTTGAGAGATTAAATTATTATTTATATAATTTATACAAATTTTATTATCATTTTTCCTAACACCTATATGTAAATAAATGAGAACAAATTAGCCATTAAATTAGTTTAATTTTTATTAATCTAATCCCTCTAAGCTTACATTGTGTTTTGTTCTTTTGTTGTTTTTTCAAATCTATTTTTTACATAAATAATTATATTTATTTTTATTAATTTATATGGCTATTATAACGTATTAAATTTTCACACCTATTTTTGACAAAATATAATTTAATAAATAAAGTTTGACTAATAAACACTTACCATGATAAAAAAATGTATGCCATAATATTAAAAAAGTAAAACTTAAGGAGAATTATAGTTAGGTCCCATACAAGAGAATTAATTACTGTAAGATTCATTGACAACTGAACTAAACTGCATTGACAATTGGTTGTGTTGTTAATACAGTTTAGTTCAGTTGTCAATGGACCTTGCAGTGATTAATTTTTTTATGTGAGACTTCAATGTAATTGCCCCTAAAACTTACCTTTTCACAACACTATCATGGTAAATAAAGGTTTGCTATAATAGAAAGAGCTTTATATATTATTTTCAAACCCTATCATAATAGAAAAGATATCATTATGGTAATTACATATTAAAATCATTTTTAATAACCATGGTAGAAATAACTTTTCTTACAATAAAATATATTTCTCAAAATAAACTACCATGGTTTCAAAGACAATTTAAATCTAAATATGAATTTAATCATCAATATCCAACATGGATCCGAACAACACTTTATATTGCTCAATCAGAGGCCCCTCTATGGTTTACACTTGATCACAACATAACTACATCAAATATCATATTACAAAACACATTCTAAACACATATGAGGTAAAGTTATAGTTGGGTTATAGCTATCCAACACAATCATATAATCATAAATTATTCAAGTAATCCTTATAGCAATATATGCAGAATCAATCAAAATATAGAGTCAACATGCGCAAATGTATTCAAAAATTGCCTTAAGTTGGTAAGTATATATTACTAATTAAAGAGGAATGGTGTCTCATACACCAAGTCCAAGCCTCCGGTACTCCTCTAATTGAGCTTTCTTATATAAAAATGTTAACTATAGGGAATGAGACACAAATATCCTAGTAACCAAAATTAATATGCCATGATTCATGCAATGCAATTAATCATGTAAATTGCTAAGTGGGCAAGTAAAACGCATTATCATACTAATTATATTCAATTTATAAACACAAATGTATGATATGACAACATCTTATCCCTTTTGTACACCATGTCAGGTACCCTAGCTCACTTAGCTAAAAGTAAGATAATCCAAGTTATATATGCCACCTAATGGTCTAATGGGGGTATACCGCATAGGAATAATTGAACCATACAGAACTCTCAACCATGCACCAACTAATCATGTGTAGTGACAATTTCCATACACAACTGACTTATACAATTGAACATACTTTCACAACACATATTTTCAAGCCAAACACATTTATAGACAAGATTTATTTCCACTTGGCAACATATTTTCTCAAAACACTTAATATTCATTTTCAACGCATGGATTTCCAACACAATTATTTCATAAGAAAAATGTACATAATTAACTCTAAAACATATACCATAATATAATAGAAATGGTTATCTTTATTCCTTAAAAGCAAAGTTTCCTTTTACAATATCTCTTCCATCACACTCTTTATCAATACAATTTACACACATTTTTCATAATACATAATATTAATTTCAAATTTGAAATCAATAAACAACTCTAATTATAGATTTAGGAAGTCTAGGCCTACTAAACCCATAATTAACACTAATTAATTTAAGGTTAGCATCCTATTTAAACTTTTCACATATTAATTCATACCCTAACCCCTAAAATACCTCTAATACCATAATTTCATCTTTTCATTTCCTTAAATTCATCAAAAAATACCCTAAAAAATCAAAAATCATTCTCAAGCCTTAACTTACCATTCCAAAGCCTTAGAAATATTTCTCCATATTCAAATAAACATCTAGTCACTAGAAAATCATCCCAAAAATTTGGATTCAACACAAACTCAACAATACAGGATTAGGGTATTTGAAATCCAACCTCAAAATAATGTACTACATCCTTTATTATAATCCTAATAACCTTAACAACTACATTCATCCATCATTAATTTGGATTAACTATCTCACAAGAAAACCATAATCAAAAAATCTTTCTCAATCTAAGAAAAAACTATATAGAATGATAGAGTGAA